CGTGCCGCCCCGCCCTGTGATCCTCCGATCCCCCATCAACCTAACATGGGCGAAAGAGTGGTGATCATTCCGTTAGATGCGTAAACGCGGCTTTGTACCAATGACCGACTGACAAAGCTCAAAGTGATCGACTCCTTTATCTGCACCTTACTCTCTCCCCTCCAACGAGCCACATTCCGAACAAATGCCCCGAAAGACACACAAGCAGCACTCCCACCCTCCAGATCGGTGATGCGATTAGCCTTCCGCTTGAGCAACTTGGCTCGATTCTTCGCGATAGATCTCTGACGATGTGTGTCGCACCACTACAGCGGGGACAAGAGTATGAGCATCTGATAGAGAGAGAAGGAGGTATCGCCAAGCTCACCGCTTCCGGACCTGACCCATTCTGCTTCAAGACAGTCCCCATTCCACACAGTCTTCCACCTCCCTTGTTGTAGCGACAGAATCCGGTTACGCTTGGTGTGTCTCTTGATGCAACGTTTTCAGACATGATGGGGGGAGGGGCGGGCGCGGAGGAGGGTTACAGAGGGTCGGAGTGAACACTGACTGACAACCAACTCAGCATCTCTGTATGAAAGCATTCATCGATTCACGCCAATACAACGAAGTGACAGGTAAACAAGGTCCTGAGACAAAAGGCCAAGGTTGGTCTGGTCTGGGGGGGGGTAAAATCGAGGAGGGTTCCCCTGCGGGAGTTGTCACAGACATAGAAATTTATGTCACGGATACAAATTATATTTTGTCCCTTTATTTCAAAAATAGTATCAAGTGGCATATATGTCACTGACATAGAAACCTATGGCACTGACATCGAAACCTTTGTCACGAATACAAGTTGTATTCCCTAGGAGCCCCTTAGGAGCCCTTGGAAAGGATGGCTGTCGCCACCCAGTCTGAACGTCTATATAAGAGAGCCAAATCCAGTTGTAATATTCGCCACCATGATATATTGAATTACGCTTGACCTACCTAACTTCGCCCGTCTAGCGCCTTGATTTTACTAACACAAGACTGAGCAATATAGTGAGACTCGCTTTACTTAGCGGTCTACCTTATTACATTCAGTTGTTAGAGTTTACCTTATACGATACAATCAGTCGTGAAGCATAATACTATTTGACTGACCCACTTAAGAACTTATACTGTATTAATTGGTATTATATAACATCATATATACTATCTCTTAATACAACGATATAAGCCATCTTACAGCTGGCGAATTATTCTACCTGCGAATGTCGCTTCATGTCGTTCCATCACCCACACCGTAGTCTGTGAAAACGGTGCGGTATTCTATGCTTCCTTCCGCGACGCCTGTGCAGCTCGGGTTTTACTGCAGGATAACAGAGAGTGGGATCAGTGCTTGACTGAAGCAGCGACGTTTCAGACTGGCCTACAGTTCCGAACGATTTTCGCACCTATCATATGCAATCACCCTGATGCATATGCTCCGGCACTGTTTGAGAATCATTATCAGTTTTTATCCGATGACATCGTAGACATCCTACGACGAGATTATGCAATAGAAGATCCCAACGAGCAGCAGCTCCGCGACGTGTATTTGATACGATTGGAGAGTGCTATAATTCGCATAGACCCGGATAAGCGGCTTCAGTCATTCCACTGACCAGCTCCGTCCGCCGATGCGTGTTAAGAGCCGGTGCTACTTTACCTAAGGACACTCTAACTTGATCGTATGATACAAGTTACTTGAATCTTTACCTTACTGGTTAAGTAGTATCGCCTTCTCAACTAGTCCCAGCGGCTCGGAGCTACGCAGTGGTTATGTAATACTCACCTGTCTTAGCGACTGCTTCTCGATAATACTCAGTGTCTGGATGACGTAAGGTCGCGATTCCTTAGTGATCCTAAAGTATGGTATCGATTAACTCATCCAATATTGCGTGTCCTAAGAAAGTTACAATTGAGTGGCAAAGGCAAAGGCCTGTATATATAGTTATCTGGTTTGTGTGGCGAAGCTAAGCTACTAGAGAAACGAGTCTACAGAAAGTAGTCATACTGAGCTGTGGTGTGGTGTGGTGTGGTGTGGTGTGGTGTGGTGTGGTGTGGTGTGGTGTGGTGTGGTGTGGTGTGGTGTGGTGTGGTGTGGTGTGGTGTGGTGTGGTGTGGTGTGGTGTGGTGTGGTGTGGTGTGGTGTGGTGTGGTGTGGTGTGGTGTGGTGTGGCGAGTGGTGACGAAGCGCGGTGAGACTCACCTCAGCACAGCACAGCTACAGAAATTCTTCTAAGCTACCAATAGGCCAGAGTCGGTCAAGAATTCAATATCACTACAATGCGCCTCTCCCAAGGCATTCCGGAAATGAATGGCAGGAGGAGCTGAATCGATATGATGTCACAGAGCTACGACGAATGGTGAACGCGGCTGAGAACGGCAGCAAACCTTTAAACCACGACCAAGCAGATGCGGTTAATGCAGTACTATCTGCCATACGCAACGATCAGCCTCAAGTGTTCTTCCTCCAAGCACCTGGGAGTACGGGAATGACAAAGGTGGAGAACTACCGTCTAGCGCGCATCAGGATAGATCATGATATTGCAGCAGCTGTCGCATCTTTTGGTATCGCTGCCCTGCTGCTACAAGGGGGACGAAAGCACGGTGTGCTTTACCGGAATTAAGAACTGATATCAACGTGCTTATATCGATATAAGGGTGTGGCAGTGAAGCTGAGGCGCTTACAGTACCCCCTTAAGCTTGCTTTCGGTCTCCCTATCAACAAAGCCCAGGGACAGTGATTAGCGGTTGTAGGTGTTGACCTCACTGCCCCAGTATTCGCACACGGTCAGTTGTACGTTGCTCTATCCAGAGCAACGGATGCAGCGCGTATTGCAGTCCTTCTTGAAAACAGCGACGGAGTGCAACGCAGAGTCCGTAATGTGGTGTACCGGAATGTGATTACTGGGAATGTATGAGATATCGATGTACATGTGCGCTACAACGTGTTATAGCATATACTGCGGGTAAGCAAGGTAGGCAAGTGATTAGCAATGCATTCCATATATAGCGCATCACTTTGCAGTACGTTCTTGAACGAACCAGATTTTTTTTGCAATAGTCTCCCCTCTGGGAGCCCACTTTTCCGATCGTTAACATCTCTCTTTTTGATCCCTTCCCATCCAGACATTCTGCGGGAATAGGGTACCCGCGCCAGCATTAGCCTTCACCGGAATCATGTACGGCGTGAAAGCAGGAAGCATGGACATAGTACTCACTCAAAAGAAAAATGCGTTAGTCTCCCCATGGAAGAGACTCTGTAATGGTATCAAACGGAAAAATAGCGAAAGAAATCTTTGTGATTGGAGAGGAAATCATTTCAGTTTCGACACATATGCGCTACCTTGCCCCACGCCAAACGCTCGCTTTACAGCCTAAATCGTACTCACCTTGATCATGGAAAGGAAAGTAAGACATCTGAACTGAACAGCACGGCGCAGCAGTACCATGTATAAAGCTGAACAAGTGTTTAACATACAATGCAAACCATGCACACGGCTCAAACAGCTTGCGTCATGCGCTTTCGATTGCGCGTTCAGAGACTCGCGCGGACGAGGAGTGTTAAGAGCCGGTGCTACTTTACCTAAGGAGACTCTAACTTGATCGTATGATACAAGGTACCTGAGTCTATACCTTACTGGTTAAGAAGTATCAGCTTCTCAACTAGTCTCAGCGGCTCGGAGCTACGCAGTGGTTATGTAATACTCACCTGTCTTAGCGACTGCTTCTCGATAATACTCAGTGTCTGGATGACGTAAGGTCGCGATTCCTTAGTGATCCTAAAGTATGGTATCGATTAACTCATCCAATGTTGCGTGTTCACGGCTTCTGAACTTCACAACTTCCGCACTTCTGAACTTCTGAACTTCTGAACTTCACAACTTCAAAACTTCAAAACTTCGTTCCCCTTGGAAGACCGCACCCACTCCGGTCTCCCATGAGCAACCTTGTAGTTAAAATAAGTATATATAGGATTACATCACACTTGTATTCTGAACTAGCTACATGACCTTTTATTCACCCTTTGATTTACCTTTAAATACGAAGCTACCCTGAGTGCAAGACTTTCTCAGGATTAGCTACCCTTCCGTCTTCCACCCTTCGGTATTCGAGTATCGTCTTACGTAATAAGCCATTTGATAACTAGTGCTAGATCCCTCATACAACGGCAGCGCTATATAACGTTCTTACGTAATATAGATCACTTGCCCGCGACAAGTTATGTAATACTCACCTGTCTTAGCAACTGCTTGTCAATAGAACTCAGTGTCTTGATGACGTAAGGTCGCGACTCCTTATTACTGAAGTTATAGTATTGATTAATTAATCCTATATTGCCCCTCTCCTTCTCCTATCTGAATTACAAGACAGTGGCAAACGAGCATAGACTTATATACTTGTTGGGTTATCTAGGAGACACTAAGTAAACTATTCAGGCTTTAAGGTGGTGTTACAACAGCAGTGGTGTTATAGCAGAGGTGGTGTTACAGCAGCATTGGTGTTATAGCAGCATTGGTGTTATAACAGCGGTGGTGTTATAGCAGCAGTGGTGTTATAGCATCCGTGTTGTTATTGCATCGCATAACAGATCTTGATTACACATCATACCGGGTTACAGGCGGTCACGAGTTGTACATAGAGAATATCATTACAGGGTCGAAACTTTCCTCGAAGGGCGGGGTGATGCAGTGAATTGGGGCGCACCATCCAAAGTGTCACTCATCAGTACTGCAAGTCCCAGTATTATTACTCACAGTACTGCTAGTCCTAGTCCCTCAACAAAGTCAGTCAACACGCAGCTGGTCTGTGTATACAGAGCTGAGGAGCCAAGATCTCCTCATTGTAATAGATAGTTCTTCACCCTTAGATTGGATACAATTTTGCAGCTGTCTCAATACTGATATTCAAGGGTCAGCACCAAAATCGAAAAAAGCTTCGACCAAATTAAGAAAAGTGCATAAAATCGCAAAATTTACAAAAAGAACCTCCTCTTACCCGAATCGAACGAGTGATCTTTCCATATCAATAAACGATATACGAGTGGAACGCCTTACCACTTGGCCAAAGAGGACCTGACTATTGCGGTCGGCCCGCTAATTTATATAGCACGGTAATACCCATGCGAACAACGACCGAAGGAAGTGAAAGGCTTACCAAAGGCCGTCCCTCCAGAAGCATACGTACCATGTACCCCCGATCACAGGATATATTCGTAATAAATTACCATAACCTTTCTATCTCACCCTTGATTCAATTGTGAAGTGACCTTGAGTGCAAGAACAGCAAGGCTTGTTTTCCACTGAAATATCGTCTCCAGTGACTCCACTTGTACAACTTGTGCTAAGTTCCCTTATAGGGATGTATAAGCCATTACGTGACATAGATCACTTGCATGTAAAATGACGTCTTCCTGTTTCCAGTCTGTCTCACAGAGGAAATAACCTATGTGGAACGAACTCAGTCAACCGTATTTACTCGACAGAACGGAGATTGGCTCATCAGGTATCAGCGTAAATCATACCGGCTGGCTCTGTTGGTGCAGCCTTCCAAGCGTATTCATTTCTTCATACAAGTTGTGTGGAGCGAACTTGGAAACTTAAGGGCACCATCTTCGCATTAAACCGCCGGGTCTTGCCGAAGGCATCTGCGGTCAGCGCGCGAACTAGATCCTCAACGCGATCAGTGACTACTCCACATTCTCCTGAAGTATTTGATCTTCAGCTATTGTGCAATATGTATTACAGGTGGTTCTAGAGAGAACCAGTTACAGTCCAAGTTCTCCTTCTTCTCTCGCAAGTCTTCCTTCAGCCAGACCGAATCCACTGCTGACGGGGCAGTCAGAGGCGGTAAGCAGGAGGGGTGCACATCAACGTTATCCTCTTCACATTCTGCTGTTTTAGGCGCAAGGCAGGGTGGCTTAAGCAGGATAATCGTATACAAAATCAGGCCCTGTGGAAAAGCCAGGAGGCGTCAATTTTATGCCTGCTATTGTGATGTAGAAATCTCACCTATCGGCTTCATGTAAGGGCTGCCATACCAAGGTAGATTCTCTGCTTCCCACTTCGGATTTGGTACCGGTACATCCACATAACTTCCAGCAATGTTCCTTGTTTCGGAAAGCGGTTCTTTCTCTAGTCTACAAAGCAAGAGCGGGTCCTTTTATGTCAGCGTTGTCACTCTGCGCATCACTTCCATGGGACCCACTTTATGCTCTGACCATCGAAATCGAAAGCCGATAGCTCTCGTCCAAGCGCTGCTCCGTCCCCCACATCCTCTAGGCCACCGAGCACATAGAAGCGTGTAGCATGCTCCCAATTCTTGTCGAACCCGGTCAAAATCACTTTATCCGCGACTTTGTCTAAAGGCAAACCTTCCGCTTGTCTCCTTCCGTATGATGGAGAGCAATAGGGGAATACCCTAGTTGCTGCCGTTAAGTCGTCCCACTGTGATAGGATAACCGTCATCCCCCAATGTCGGCCCGGCTGTCTGTTCTGCTTACCGCATCCCCTTCAGGTAGAATAATCAAATTACATCCTTCAATGGGTCGCATGACCGTCTGAACTTCTTCACTAAAAGTTCCGAAGTTGTACGTCGCTTTCAAAGAATCTCCTATTGAAACCATGTGAATGGAAGACCCAGCGGTAGCGCTGCCTAAGGCAGAAGTCAAGATGAGGAAGGATGCACACGACATCGTTGTCTCATAGGGTTTTGCAGGTCTTATCATTATTCGGGCAAGCTGTGGGCAATCGTATTGTCACGGTTTAACCGGGAGTATTACCCTAATTTGTAGTTCATATATGTAATGCAGAAGTGAAAGACAGAGCTATGTAAGAGCCATTGCCTTGCTGCTGTAATAACGTCTTCTTTGTTATTTTGAAAATGCCTTTGTACTCGCTCCCATTGATGTTAACAAAAGGGAGCGTTATCCCTATCTCAAGAACAAAACAAAACCACGTTGCCCATTGTGCTTAGCGGGCCTAGCGTGGCAACTCTACAGGCGCTGAACAAAAGGAACTTCGCACCTCACCTGAATGATAGCCCTCCTGTCGCGGGCGAGTATTGGTGTTCCGAATGAATATGAATTAAGTGACTATGATGAAAAATTTATTCATTCTTGAATATGAATACAGATATGAATAATGAAGTAGGTGGTGATAGTGAATGTCTTTCCATGAATATGGATAATTTATTCACTTTGTATGGTGTTTTCTGATTAAAATATTCGAATCTGAATAAGTTCTGAATAAACTCTAATTTACGTGAATATGAATATAGACATGAAAAGAGGGACTGCTGCTGAGTTGAACAAAAATATTCAAAGTGAACTATTGATTCGGAATACTAGCGAGTAGTCAGTATTAAGTAATCGCGTGATACAGTTTCGCCGTTGTATAAGGATTCCTAGCCCAAGTTATCAAATGGCTCATTACATAACACGACTCTTCGCTGAAGGTGGAAGACAAGGGTAGCTAATCCTTAGAAAAGTCGTGCACTTAAGGTGGCTTCGTAATTGAGAGGTGATCAAAGGGTAAATCATAAAGCATGAGAGAGAGCTGTAACAAAAGTGTCACGAACGGGCGGCTGTTGAGCTAAGACTCAACACTTGAGTGCCGCAACGACCTCAAGGGAGAACAGGACAAGGCCTAAGACGATGACAAGGTAGTGGTTCCGAACCACTAAGCTATAGTTGAAAACACGTGACTATAGTATTGACATATGATTTTGCTCTGAAGAGCAAAATGGAACAGAACACGAGAGGGAATCGAGTGTGAAAGTTCGCTATATATACTACACGGAAAGGGACAGTGATCAGGGTCGCCTGCGACTTCGATCACTTCAAAACAGAATCGTACGACGCGCGGCGCGGGGATTGCGAATAACAAAATGATTGATGAGTGATGGTTGACACTTTTGATGTCAGCTGACCACGGGCTTATCGGCCATCCCCATAAGCCGACAGGGCCAAGGTCAGGTGATGAGATGAAATCAGGTGACGCTGATGATGGCTGGAGTCATTCATGACCAAAAGGGGGCAAGATACCAGCTATAAATACTTATCTAGAATGTCTACTCGTCCTAGGAAGGTGAAGTCTCACAAGGGCAGCTAATGGAACGGAAGTGAAGTCGCGAAGTGAAGTGCTGAAGTTGGTGAAGTGAATTGGTGAAGCGGAGTGGTGAAGTGAAGTGAAGGTGCTGAAGTGGACTTAGGGATAGTGTTGAAGGAAGTCGACAAAGGTAAACAGAAGGTTACGTAACAGCTAGTATGTCATCTTGCCGTGTACCAAACTACATGTCTTCACAGCTCTCTAGCAATGCCAGCTGATTTTCCACTTACCTCGCCCTTTTCGTCACTACCTGTCGGACTTTGCGAAGAACGCAATCATCAGTGCACCGCCACGCTTTTCCTTGGAACGTCCCGTGCCTCCTAGGAATGTTTCACGTTCGTCACCCTTCCAAAAGTATATATATAGCGGTCCAGCACAGTTGTAATATCCGCCTCTATGGCTAAATACTAATGCGACACACTTTACTGGGTCAATTTCCAAAGCGCCAGTGGCTACATACCCCCTTAATATTTTGCCTTTAGAGCTTCATCATCTCGTGTCACCGATTCAAGATCGACTCGGCTTTACCGCGGGTGGTGGATGACTTTGGTGCAAGTACTCTTCCCCCTTGCAACACCTGTGTACTGTCACAACTCAGTGATCACTATGTACCAACACCTTGTGGCACTGATTCATTGATCTGGTCATAAATCGAATGACACAAGACCCAGTGCAGTCCAGAGACTGGATAGCTCACAAAGGGAATCTCCTTCAAAACGGTGAAGGGTTATGTAGAGAAACGAAGGTTGTAGAGAGAGAGTATACTCTTGGCACTAGTCTGGTAGAAAGTCGAAGATGACATAACATGCGCTCGTCATACCCCACTCGCAATCACTGCTTGACTAAGATGTCCTCACTCAGAGTGCCCCCTCTCAGTGTCCATTACTTTACCATGAAGGACTTTGTCATGAATTGTTTTTCCAACAAGACTTGTGGCGAAGGCTCAGGCTCAACTCACAGTGGCACTGTAGCTAGTTCCAGTGCCCCCTCTCAGTGTCCATTACTTTACCATGAAGGACTTTGTCATGAATTGTTTTTCCAACAAGACTTGTGGCGAAGGCTCAGGCTCAACTCACAGTGGCACTGTAGCTAGTTCCCAACTCGGGCGTATAGGAGACCCTTTAACTTCTTTCTTAAACTAGCTACTTAACTATTCATTCGCCCTTTATTCTACTCTTAATGATGAAGCTATCTTGAGTGTAAAGCTTTCTCAGGATTAGCTATTCTCCGTCTTCCACCTTCAGTAATAACAACTATCGTCTTACATAACAAGTATTTAATAACACGTGCTAGTTCCCTCATGAAAAGGCGGTTCTCTATTAGCCCTTACATATTGGCGACTGCTTGCCCGTGACAAAGGCGACTGGTCGCTTGCACGACTAGTGACTAGAGCCAGCGCGAGCATTCTCGCCCGGCGGCGATGAACGAACCCACACACGGCGCCTCAGCCGTTCAACGTTTGTCGACAGCGACTTTGAATTTCTAACCTAGGACAAGCGGTGGCCAGGAAAAACTATATGCATATTGCTACCCTTCATTTTGTATTTTCTGTTACGAAATCACCCGTTGCTTTAGCTTAACTTTGAGGCAAGTTGTAGAAAGACGCAATCTACAGCCCCATACCTATTCACTCACGCACACTTACCATCCATCTTACTGCATTATGCCTCACTGCAATGCATCATGATCGTATTCCAGTTAAGATGCTACTACGGTAGATGTAGAGATATAGACTTGTAGTGAGGGAATGTATCCGTATCAATTACTTTCATTCCTTGACTATGCTTCACTTCTACGGTGCCTCTTACTTTGGTTAAGCGAAACTTCGTTAACTTCGTCTACTACTTCGCCAACTTCGTAAACTTCACTTCGTCAACTTCACTTCGTCGACTTCGCACACTTCGCATACTTCGCCGACTTCGCCAACTTCGTCTGCCTTAGGATAACTCCTCTTGCTACGAATATC